GACCTGAAAGTTGGATGAGGCAGGGCCTCAGGGAATCACCAGAGCAGGGCAACCAGTATGAGCCAGGTTGCTGGAGTCCCAGATATGACGGCCGTGTACCTGCCCTCTGGGGGAAGGACTCACCAAAGGAACAATGGCCTCCACCAGCACATCTGTCCAGGAGAAAGTTGCTTCTCCAGCCCTGATGCCAAAAAAACTCAGTTCTTCTCTATACATCTCTGGTGCCTTTCCTCCAAGCTTAGAGGGAGTAAGTCCATTTAAGAGGAGCTGCCTGGGGCTCCTGCAGCCACAGCCTCCCTCAGCCTCAGTTCAGCTGGGTTTTACAGCCAGAAGTTATGGGGACTTCTCTTCCTGGCACTGGAACCCTGAACTGGATGCCTGGTGTGGGACAGGGACCCCTCACTCCTCAGGGAGGACCTTTCCAGCTAAGGTATCCCTCTGATTTTTATCAGCCACACGTGGGTGTGGGACCAGCCTGTCTGCGCATCTGCCCTTCCTACCAGTCTCGATGTGGCTGCTGCTTTAACTTCGTAGTTGTAGAACTCCCATTCAGCTCGATGTCAGGCTGTTTCCAATGATGATTGTTCTGTAGTTTGGTTGTAATTTTGATGTGATTGTGGCAGGAAGCGAGTACCGTGTTTACCTACGCTGCCATCTTGACTAGAAGTCCTCAACAAATGTAGTTTCTTAAATATTAATTGCAATGTACAGTCTGAAACTATGTCAAGGAACCTTTTATACTCCATTACCTTAAAATCCATTAGTATCTTGCCTATTGAATGGACCTTCTACTCAGGCATGATTCTGAACTTGCAGATTACTTCAAAGGGTCTGGGGAAGCTTTATACTTACCTGGGTTACATTTTTTTTAAAACCTAGCATAAATAACCCTGTGGCATATAATAAGTCTGGCAGTGAATAAAGAAAGGCTGGGCGGTAGGGAGGAGGGCTATTTTTACTCTGTTTTATATAAAAATGCTTCCAATAGATTGAGGAATTAACTTTTTTGTCTTTTATTGTTGTTTTTGGTAAGGCTTAATCATATACTTTACAAAGTATTCTCCCTGATATTTCCAGTACCCAGCTGGAACTATACATAGTTATTACAATATTACTGACTATAATTCCTATGCTGTACTTTACATCCCCACGGCTATTCTGTAACTCCCTTTCTGTACTTCTCAATCCCTTCGCCCCCACCACCCACTGGCAACCATCGTCCATTCTCTGTATCTATGTGGATAATTATAAAATTATTATGTAAAATAAATAATATATAATGTTGGCAAGAGTACAGTGAAAAAGGCAGCCCAAATAATATAAGTAGATATGTAAATCAAAATCACTTTTGTTGGAACGAATTTTGGGATTTTATATGAATCCCCTCAAAAATGTTCATACACTTGATGCAGTAATTTTACTTCTAGAATCTTTATTCTCAGAAAATAATCAGAGATTGAGAATGATGGGGGAGGGGCATGTTTGTAGAATGACCTCATAAATTAGTACAGCAACTCAGACAAAGCCATGTGAGATTTCCACATGGGTAATACACAAAGGTATCTGCTAGAGACAAAAATAAGAGTCTTAAAAGTCAAAGTCTATCAAGAGTCAAAGATTTTAAAAATCCAAACAGGTTGATTAGTCTGAACAGGAACTTCTGACATCTATAAGTAGAGAGTAAGTGAGCTATGAAAACAACTTCTTTTCTAAGCTTTGTGGTCCTGACAAAGTTACTTAAAAAAGAGACTTGGTATGACATTCATAGAGGTAAAAGGACTTCCTACAGTTCATCCTTCCAGAGTCTGGGGGTGAGTAATCTCAGGTGCCTGTGATAGCAACTTGGCTTCCTTTATAGACATGTGTTATTTTTAAACTCTGGGAAGATTTAGAATTTACTGTAAAAAGCTAAGAGAATAAAAATCATAGCATTAATACTTGTGTTAAGAATAAGTATGTAGCCCTGGCCGGTTTGGCTCAGCGGTAGAGTGTCACCAGAGATCAATGAGTCGCGGGTTTGATTCTGGCCAAGGGCACATACCTTGGTTGCGGTTTGTCCCTGGCCCTGGTTGGGTTCAAGCAGGAGGCAACCAGTCGATGTGTCCCTTTCACATTGATGTTTGTCTCTCTCCCTCCCACTCTCTCTGAAAATAAATAGAAAACTATCCTCAGGTGAGGATTAAAAAAAAAAAAAAAGAATAAGTATGTACGAGAATTGATGAAATTTGAACATAGATCATGAAGTAGGTATAGTATTATATTACTGTTAAGTTCCCTGATTTTGATATTAGTATTGTAGTTACATAAGATAATGTCCTTGTTCTTAGGAAATATAAACTGAAGTATTCAGAAAAAAGGGTGCGTAATGTCTGTAACTTAATCTCAAAAATGATTCAGATTAAAAATGAAACACACACACACCATGAATGAGAATGATAAAGCTAATAAAACAAAAGGCAAATTTTTGCAACTTGTCAGTAAACTTGAAATTATTATTTAAACAAAAGTATGTGTATACTATTAAAGTAAAGAGCATGTACATGTTTAAGAGAAATTGGCCTATTAGAGTGATAACCTTACAACTGCAGTTTGAAATGTAAAACTGAGTAACTGATTTAGAATTTTGACATTATGTTGAAATCTTAAGTCTGTGTCACTCTTACAACATTAAAAAACTTCAAGCTCTGGCCAGTGTGGATCAGTTGTTAGAGTGTTGGCTTGCTCACTGAAGGGTCGCAGGTTCAATTCCTTGTCAAGGGCATGTACCTAGGTTGCAGGTTTGATTCCCAGCCCTGGTAAGCGTCATGTAGGAGGCAACCAATAAATATCTCTCTCTCTCTCTCTCTCTCTCTCTCTCCCCTTCTCCCCTCATTCCCACACTCCCTCCCTTCCACTCTATCTAAAAATCAATGGAGAAAATATCCTTAGATGAAGATTAACAACAAAAACTTCAGGTTCACCAAATTTATAAGTTTAATGTATTAGATTTTTAAATAATTATTTTATATTTGAGGTTTTGTTTGTTAATGTAGATGGTTGAAATAAAATACTTAAAAAGAAATCATATTTAATGCATTATAAATATAAAGTATTTGAAGGTATTTAATTAAGTTTGAAACCAAATCAAACATTCAGGACTCTTAAAAGTCATTGTTAAAAACTGTTAGAATTATAAACAGAATAATAACACTTCCAAGCTAAACTTTAAAGTATAGCCTAAGAAAGAAATTGATTTATTAAAAATTTGGAATGTTTTAAATTAAGTAGCAATTATTTAAATCAAGAGCATACCTCTGAACAGTCTTTTCTGCCTACACAAACCATATTCACATACCAAAAGACTCACATCATTGGGTGTGGCAGTTTTTTTCTCAAGACTATAAATTCCTTACCACTTCTCTCATTGAAAGGTGGGGTTTGTGTCCCTGCCCCTTTGAATCTGGCCAGACTTATAACTGCATCCCTCAACAGAGTATGACTGCAATAACATTATGGGACTTCCAAGGCCAAAAAAAAAAACACAAAAAAACCATGCAGCTTTGACCTGGTTGTTTTTGAATGCTCACCCTTGGAAACTCCAATTTATTCCTTCTCAGAATACAGCTGCTATGCTGAGAGAGGTCTAAGCCACACCGGGAGGCCACATAAACATTCCCAACTGAGCTAGTCTTTGAATCATCCCAGCGTAGGCACCACAAATAGGTATTGTTATGGACTAATGGTTTATGTCCTCACCCTAATCAAAATTCAGTTGAAACTCTACCCCACAATGTGATGGTACAAAGAGATGGGGCCTTTGGGAGGTAATTAGGTTTAGCTACGTTCATGAAGGTGGAACCCTCATAATGGATTTAGTGTTCTTCCAAGAGGAAGAAGAGAGGTCAGAACTCTTGCGTGCTCACAAAGCAGATGGTGGCTGTCTACAGCTGGGAGCAGGGCCCTCATCAGGGAGAGAATCCACTGGCACCTTGATCTTGAATTTCTCCGCCTCCAGAACTGTTGTTTAAGCCAGTCTATGGTATGTTGCTATAGCAGCCTGACGTGACTAAGACAGGTGTGAAGGAGCCTTCAGATGATTCCAGCCCCCTACCATTTCAGGCACTTGAGCCATTAGAAATATCCACACCAGTAGTCTGTGGCATATGATGGCAAAACTGAAAACAAGACTTTGGGTGACCAAGCAGCAGGGACCAGTCTTGTAAAATTAAAAAGTATAGTGGAGTTAGTTGGTTGCTTCTAAGTGCACTGGAAAACTTGAAGAAAAAACTGTTCCGTTGTGGCCTTTAAATTCCCACCTTAAGGTGTGGGTAAGTGACCAGAAAGTTTCTGTGGCTTACTTAAAAGAAACCCTTATTGTCTCTGGTCACATGGCTGAAAATTCTGAGAACCAAACTCAAAATCTAATTGTGCACGTGGGTGAATTATAGTGCAAAATGAATTCCCAGGCTTGTATGGTCTCTTATATTAAAATTAGGGCAATGGTCAGGAAGAAATGGAACCTTAGCAGATTCCAGTGAGGCTGGGGACTTTAAACCCCTAAATACCACTGAGCCTTCCTTACCAATAGAATCAGTCCTTCCTCCCCTGCCTGAGAAGGTTAGACTCCCCTTGCTAATAGAAACAGTGATGGCTTCCCCTGAAGTAAATACCTTCCAGGGAACTGCTGACCAACCCCACTAGCTCTCATTGCTTCCAGATCTATAACCAGATCTAAGTTCCAGGTGCCATAACAGCCTTTCATAGCCTTCTCCATCAGCTCCCACATTGCTGATTTAATTCTATATTACTCCTAGTGGTTCTGCTTCTCTGATCAAATCCTGACTGATGCATGGGGCACAGGGGAGGTAGTCATAAAACTTCATTTGATGAGAGAAGAATATAAACAGAAAGAAAAGGAAAATACCCATCTAAAAATAAAAGGGGGGGCACGTTACAGTCACATACATGTTTCACCTTACAACGTCAATCAGGAACTGTTTCTTTCACATGGACCCACTTACAGATTTTGGAGGAACATAGTCTGGATCTAATTCTTTGGCTATTGAGAGTCGTATTATCCGGGGAGAAGGACCAGACATTTCAAGAGACTCTGTTAAGGAATCACTGAAGGACCTATATGCAAGTGGAACATAAAATATTATAATCATTAGAGAAACAATAACTACATTTTCCATCCTATAATCAAACTTCACACAATTATATATATTGTTTCTATATTTGGAACATCTTTTCCCATAATCATCAGTGCTCTTTCTATCAGACTGGTGTTTCTCAAACTTTTTTACTTTGATCCACAGTAAGAACTATATTTTATATTGTGATACAGTATATGTAGATACAGTATATGTAGATCCGTGTGTGTACCTGAAACAAAATTATCGTGAAACTATGCTTGTCCTAGGCAACGTATCCTGAGTTTTAACTTTCATTTGATTTAATTAAAAGAAAAGCTGGAATTGACTTCATGATCCACTAATTTATTGAGACTTGCAGTTTTAACATTGTTAACATTATTATTATTATAATAATCTTATGTGGAGTCTTTTACATTTCCTCTATAAAAAATCATGTCATCTGTAAGTAGAAATACTTTTACTTCTTTCTTTCCAAACTGAATGTCCTTTTTCTTTTTCTTGCCTAATTTCTCTGACTATAATCTCCAGTATGATGTTGAATAGAGGTGGTGAGAGCTGACGTACTTGTCTTATTCCTGATCTTAGGGGCAAAGCATTTAGTCTTTCACCACTAATTACGATGTTGGTTGTGGGGTTTTGTAGCTGCCTTTCATCAAGTTGAGGCAGTTCACTTCTATACCAAATTTGTTGAGCTTCTTTTTATCATGAAAGTGTGATGAATTTTGTCAAATGCTCTTTCTGAGTCTATTGAAATGATCATGTGATTGGGGGGGGGTTATTCTCTCTCTCTCTTTTTTTTTTTTTAATCCTCACCCGAGGACATTTCTCCATCTTTTGTACAGATAGAGTGGGAGGGAGAGAGAGGAAGAGAGAGAGAGAGAGAAACATCGATGTGAAAGGGACACATCGAGCGGCTGCCACCCGCACAACCAACCAGGGCCGGGGACAAACTGCAACCGAAGTACGTGCCCTTAGCGGGAACCGAACCCGGGTCTCTCCGGACCGCAGGCCGACGCTCTAACCGCTGAGCCAAACCAGCCAGGGCTCTCTCTTTTTTTTTCTATACTCACCCAAGGACATTTTTGCATTTATCTTCAGATACAGCAGGAGGAAGAGAGGAGGGAAGAGAGAGAGAGAGAAACATTGATGTGAGAGATACATTGACTGTTTGCCACCCACACAACCCCAACCAGGGCTGGGGACAAACTGCAACTGAGGTACGTGCCCTTAGCAGGAACCGAACCCAGGACTCTCTGGTCTGTGGGCCGATGCTCTAACCGCTGAGCCAAACTGGTCAGGGTGGGGTATTCTTCTCTTAATTTGGTGTATGTTACATTGATTTTAGTATGTTTTACCAAACAAGCTATATTCCTGGGATAAATCTAACTTGGTCATGGTGTATAATTATTTTTACATGTTGTTGGATTTGGTTTACTAGTACTTTGGCATGGATTGCTGCATGTATGTTTGGATTTGGTTTCTCAGTATTTTGGTACAGATTGTTACATGTATATTCATAAGAGATATTGTCTGTCATTCTCTTCTATAATAATGGCCTTTTCTGGTTTTGGTGTCAAGGTAATATAGACCTGATGGAATGTGTTGGGAAGTGTTCAATATTTGGGGAGGGTCTGAAGGATTAGTGTTAGCTCATCTCTAAACATAGCATAGAATTCATCAATAAAGATATCTGGTCCGCCCTAACCGATTTGGCTCAGAGGTTAGAGCATTGACCCGCACACCAGAGAGACCCGGGTATGGTTCCCGCTAAGGGCATGTACCTCAGTTGCAGTTTGTCCCCGCCCCAGTTGGGGTTGTGTGGGTGGTAGGCAGTCCATGTGTCTCTCGCACATCAATGTTTCTCTCTCGCTTTTCCTCCCTCTCTCCCTCCCGGTCTATCTGAAGATAAATATAGAAAAAAATGTCCTTGGGTGAGGATAAATATATATGTGTGTGTGTGTGTGTGTGTGTGTATACACACACACACATATATATACATACACATATCTGGTCCTACAGCTTCAAACCATGTCAAAGCACCACCACCCAACCACTTCCACAAGTGACACACTCAATGAGTGGACTCAGTGGGTACCAGAGCCCTGATGAAGTTAAGTCTTGCTCTGTGTGGTGGGCCCCTACACAGCTGATCCTCCAAGGGAGTCAGAGGCCAGTGGCTAGTGGACACAGCCAGCCCTTGCAGCTGATCAGCCTGAGTAAATCCCTCCCATTGACATGCCAACAGCAATTGAGACTCAATTACAACAGAAGGGTATATAGTACATACTAAAGGTTCACCTCAAGGGCCCAGCTGAGATGATCAGGGAGGCTGTGCCACTGGATCCTACAGGACACCCTACAAAGCCTAGGAGACATAGCAACTCTACCTAATACATAGAAACAGGAAGCAGCCAAAATGAGAAGACAAAGAAACATGTCCCAAATGAAAGAAAAGAACAAAACTCCAGGAAAAGAACTAAACAAAATGAAGATACACAATCAATCAGAGGCAGAGTTCAAAACACAGGTTATAAGGTTGCTCAAGGAACTTGGTGAGACATTCAAGGGACTTAGTGAGATCTTCAAGAAACTTAAGGAGACCTCCAAGGAACTTAGAGCATCAACATAAAAAAGGACCAGTCAGAAATGAAGGATGTACTACTGAAATAAAGAATAATTTACAGGAAATCAATAGTAGTGTAGGTAAAACCAAGAAGCAAACCATATAAGGAAGCAGAAAACACCCAATCAGAACAGCAAAAAAAAAAAAAAAAAAAGAATCCTAAAAAGTGAGGATTGTGTAAGGAGCCTCTGGGACAATCTCAAGCATGCCAACATTCACATCATAGGGGTGCCAGAAGGAAAAAAGAGAGAACAAGAAATTGAAAACCTATTTGAAACAATAATGACAGAAAATTTCCCTAACTTGGTGAAGGAAATAGACATACAAGTCCAGGAAATACAGAAAGTCCCAAACAAGATGAACTCAAAAAGGTGCACACCAAGACACATCATCTTCAAAATGCCAAAGATTAAACACAAAGAGAGAATCTTAAAAGCAGCAAGAGAAAAGCAGTTCATTATCTACAAAGGAGCTGCCATAAGACTGTCAGCTGATTTCTCAAAAGAAATTTGGCAGACCAGAAATGAGTAACAAGAGATATTCAAGGTGGTGAAAAGCACTGACCTACAATCAAGATTACTCTATCCTGCAAAGCTATAATTTAGAATTGATGGACATATCAAGAGTTTCCCAGACAAGAAAAAGCTAAAGGAGTTCATCATCACCAAACCAATATTGTAGGAAATACTGAAGGGTCTTCGTGAAGGATAAGAACAACAAAACTTTGAACAATAAAATGGCAATTAATACATATCTATCAACAACTGAATCTACAAACAAAATGAGCAAGCAGAACAGAAACAAACTCATAGGTACAGAGAACTTTTTGTTGGTTGCCCAATGGGAGGGAGATTTGAGGGATGGGCAAAAAAGGTGATGGGGTTAGGAAGTACAAATTGGTTGTTAGACTGATAAACCTCAAAGGGAAGGGGAAGGAGGGTGAGATGAGATAAACCAAAGAACTTCTATGCATATATTCATAACCAATGGACGCCGACAATAGTATGGGGAAGGCAGGAGAGGGGTGGGATTGAGGAGGAGGGGGTCGGTGAAGAAAAAAGGGGGGTACATCTGTAATATATTCAACAATAAAGATGAGTTTTGTTTTTTTAAAAGATATCTGATCCTGGGCTGTTCATGGAAAGTTTTTTTTTTAAATTATTAATTTAATCTATTTACTTGTTATTAGGTCTGTTAAAGTTTTTTATTATTGAGTCAATTTCAGTAGTTTTTCTTTCTCGAAATTTGTCCATTTCACTTACATTATCTAATCTGTTGGCCATACAATTGCTTATAGTAACCCCTTATAATTCTTTTTTATTTCCATAAGCTCAGTAGCAACGACCTTTCTTTTGTAAATGACCCTTAGAAATGTTAGTCTCTTTCTTTCTTTCCTGATTTTAGCAATTTATTTATTTATTTATTTTTTTATCCTCACCAGAGGATATTTTTCCATTTTTTGTACAGATAGAGTGGGAGGGAGAGAGAGGAAGGGAGAGAGAGAGAGAAACATCGACGTGAAGGGACACATCGAGTGGCTGCCACCCGCACGACCAACCAGGGCCGGGGACAAACTGCAACCGAGGTACGTGCCCTTAGCAGGAACCGAACCTGGGTCTCTCCGGACCGCAGGCCGACGCTCTAACCGCTGAGCCAAACTGGCCAGGGCGATTTTAGCAATTTAAGTCTTTTCTCTTTTTGTCTTTGTTAGTCTAGCAAAAGGTTTGTTTTGTTGATCTTTTCAAAACACCAACTTTTGGTTTTGTTAATTTTCTCTAATTTCTATTTTGTTTATTTCCACTATAATCCTTATACTTTCCTTTTTTCTGCCTGCTTTAAATTCATTTGCTTTTCTATTTGTAATTTCCCAAGATGGAAGATTATGATATAATTTGAGATCTCTTTTCTTTTTTAATGTAGACATTTCCTGCTAGAATTTCCCACTAAGCACTATTTCAGGTGCATAGTATAGTTTTGATATCTTGTGTTTTCATTTTTTTATCCATTGTTTGCTTAGCAATGTATTTAATTTCACATATTTCTTTAATATGCCAAATTTCCTTCTGCTCTTGGTTTCTAATTTTATTCCATTGTGATCAGAGAACTAACTGTGTATGATTCAATTATTTTACATTTATTAAGACTTGTTTTATAACTTAATGTGTGATCTGTCATAGAGAGTGTTTTATTTGAGAAGAATGTGTATTCTGCTGTTATTGGGTGGGATGTTCTATAAATGTCTGTTAGATAGAGTTGATTTATGTATTGTTCAAGTCTTTCATTTCTTTGTTGATCTGCTTGTAGTTCTTCCCATTACTGAAAGTGGGGAACTGAAGAATCCAACTATTATTGCTTAATTGTCTATTTATCTTCAATTCTATCAGGTTTTGCTTCATCAATTTGGGGGCTCTGTTGTTAGGTACATATATATTTATAACTGTTATATTTCCCTAAGGATGGACCATTTTATTATTATAAAATATATTTTTTTTTGTTTCTAGTAACAATGTTTGTCTTAAAGTCTATATTGTCTGATATGAGTATAGCCACTCTAGCTCTTTTTTTTGGGGGGGGGGGGTCATAGTATATCTTGTTCCAGCTTATCAGTTTCTTTGAATCTAAAGTGTGTGTCTTGTTAACAACATACTGTTGAGTATGCTTTTATCCATTCTGTCAATCCTTGCCTTTTGGTTGGAGTGTTGATTTATTTACATACACACACATACACACACACACACACACACACACACCACACATTTCCATTGATTTTTAGATAGCATGGAAGGGAGGAAGACAGAGGGAGAAACATTGATGTGAGAGAGACACATTAATTGGTTGCCTCCTATATGACCTTGACTGGGGCTAGGGATTGAACCTGCAACCCAGGTACGTGCCCTTGACCAGGAACTGAACCCATGACCCTTTGGCTGATTCTCTAACCACTGAGACAAACCAGACAGGGCAAATTAATTTACCTTAAATGTAATTACAGATAACATAGGATTTATGCCCACTATTTTTTGTTTTATGTTGCATTTTTTGCCCCTTTTTTGTTCCTGTAAAATATTCGATGTTTTTAGTACACCACTTTAATTCCCTCATTTATTTTTTAAAAACTGTTTTCTTAGTTGCTGCTCTGTGCATCTTAACTTATAATAATTTAGTTTAGATAAATATCACTCTCTGTTATCCTTCTTTGTGCTGTTTTAAAAATACAGTGTATGCTCATCAACACAGATTTATATATATTTCTTTATGTAGTTGTCTTTCATATCAGGTAGAATAAAAGTTACAAACAGACAAATACAGTTATGCTGTCTTTTATATGTACCTATGTAGTTAACTGTATTAATGTCCTTATTCCTTCATGCAGATTCAAGTTATTTTCTACTGTTCTTTCATTTTAGCCTGAAGGACTCCCTTTATTGTAAAGCAAGTTTGCTGGCAATTAATTTTCTCAGTTTTTATTTATCTGGGAATGTCTTAATTTCTCCTTTACTTTTGAAGGATAGTTTTGTTAATGTATTCTTGGCTAACAGTTTTTTGTTCCACCCCCCACCCCCACCCCAGTACTTTACATATGTTATCCCACTGCCTTTTGGTCTCTATGATCTCTGATGAGAAATCATCTGTTACTATTAAGGCAGATCATTTGTATGTGATGAGTCATTTCTCTCTTGCTGCTTTCAAGATTCTCTTTGTGTTTGGGTGTGGATAGTTTGATTATGATGTGTTAAGTTGTGGATCTCTTTGTGTTTATCATACTTGGAGTTTGTTTATGTGTAAATTGACATTTTTTATTTAATTTGGGATGCATTGGTCTATTATTTCTTTAAATATTCCTTCTGCCCCTTTAGATTTCCATCATGGGTATATTAATACTCTTGATGGTGTCCCACAGGTTTATGAAGCTTTATTCATTCTATTTCTTTCTTTTTTTTCTCTCTCTATTCCTCAGACTTGATCATCTCAATATTGTTAAGTTGGCTGATTCTTTCTTCTGACTACTCAAATCTGATGTCGAGTCCTTCTAGTTAATCAACTAAAATATATGTCACAAAGTCCAAACTCTATAGTACACTTATTGGTAAGCTCTGTGTGATTTCACTAGGCACTTGCTTTCCTTCTCTCACACAATTCTAACAAGCTTGGTATCTGTTTCTAGTGCACAGAATATCAGAAAAGAGTCTAGTTAGAGACTATTCCCCAGTAAAAAGAGAAGTGACAGGAAAACTACAAGAAGCAAATATCTCCTAATTTAAGAGCACAGAGGTAAGACCACCTCAGTTAAAAAAAACAACTGTGCTTCATACTCAAACAGCTCCTAAGAGGTTTTCTGTATTAAAATATTATGTTGTAGTTGATGTTCATAATAAATATCTTAAGCCAGTGCACAAAGGTTACATGTTTGTTCAGTAGCAAAAGAATCTGCTTAGGAGAGCCGAGACACACAAACTTTTTAAAATACAGAAAGTTTTAACACTCAAGGCGGTTTCACTTATATGAAACATCAGACTTAGGTGTCTCAAAAAGTGGTGACAAATAAAGTATTCCTCTGGTTTATAAATGTGTGTGTAAATTTATATGTATATATAAATTTACATGTATATTTTAACTAATTTAGCAGATTTTATCAAATGAACTAATAAATAAGCAAATGAAATTTTGTGGGAGGAATTGGGCTTCCTTTGCTGGATTCTATCATGGAAAAAGACTTAAGTTGTCTAGTTCAACCTCTCTCTTACTGCAGGAATTTTTATTAAAATCAATGTAAAGTGATCACTCCAGCTTATGCTTGAACACTTTCAGGAATTGGGGTGGAGATAACAGTTGACTTTTCCAGATAAACCTTTCCATTACTGGATAGCTAGTCAGAAAGATTTTCCTACACTTAGCTGACATCTGCTGTTCTGTAAATTCTTTGTTCAACTTCTAGTTCTAAGATCAACATAAAGTAATGTTAATTCCACCTCCTCTTTCAGATGCTGACCCTTTAAACATGACTATCTCCACTTCCTTGTTCTCTAAGCTAAACATGTCATTTTTCTTAACAATTTTTCATATAACATAGTTTCCAGAAGCTCAACATCTCATTTATTTCTTTCTGAATAGTCTCAGCTTTATTATGTTTCTTTTTTTTCTTTTCTTTTTTTTTTAATCCTCACCCGAGGACATTTTTCCATTTTTTGTTCAGGTAGAGTGGGAGGGAGAGAGAGGAACAGAGAGAGAGACAGAAACATCGATGTGAAAGGAACACATCGAGTGGCTGCCACCCGCACGACCGACCAGGGCCGGGGACAAACTGCAACCAAGGTACGCGCCCTTAGCGGGAACCGAACCCGGGTCTCTCAGGACCACAGGTTGATGCTCTAACCGCTGAGCCAAACTGGCCAGGGCTTTTATTTTCAATTATAGCTTACATTCAGTATTATTTCGTATTAGTTTCAGGTGTACAGCATAGTGGTTAGACAATCATGTACTTTGCAAGGTGTCCTCCTAATATTTCAAGTGCCCACCTGGCACCATACACAGTTATTGCAATGTTATTGACTATATGCCCTTTGCTGTACTTTACATCCTCATGACTGTTTTGTGACTATCAATTAGTACTTCTTAATCCCTTCACCTTTTTCATCCAGCTGCCTTCCCTAAAGTATAACATCCATAACTTAACACATACACCTAATGTGTTCTGACTAAAGTATACAGAAGTATAGAGTACACCTTCCTGTAAATGTACACTGTACATATTCCACTAATGTAATCTAACATTTTCAACAATCACATCACAATCTTAGCTCCCTTGTGGAAGATATCACCAAGCTATCTTTTAAAGACAAAGAGAAATTCAGCATTCAAAGCAAAAAGAAGGTCATGTGCTAAGTCACAGAGACATAAGAGAACATCAAGTACTACAAACTGCAAAAACCTTCAATGTTTCATTTGCACATTTCCTTTTAACTTGCCAACAATGGTTAAGTCTATTGTGAATTTTAGCTTCACCATATTTGAGTCAGATGCAATTACTAATGAAGATCTTCTGATTACCTACAGTTGCTGAACTATTTGATTTTTTTCCCGTTTTCTTTTCAAAACACAAATGGACTTTTAGTTTATGCAACTGCATACACTAAAATAAGAAGGACAATATTGTGACATATAACCAAATGAGATTAGAATTTGTGGAGGGTCTCAGGTACTATACCTATTTATTAGATACACGTTCTTGAATTTGTTGGGCTGTGCCAGCTTCCGGATCCTTTTGGAAGGTTTTATTAACAGTACAGGAGTAGGTATATCCCAGATTAGGGACTCTCTGCCGCAGCTGTAATAATATTGAGCCCTGCAAGTTGTATAGAAAAAATAAGTGAGTGAAACAAGTATGAACTCAAATGATCACTTGAATTCAAATATTGATACTCTCAGGTCTAGGGGAGTAGGCATGTCAGTTTGTCCCTTTCCTGCTGAGCTATTTTCTACATGGGAAGAAATTAAAAACGGTTACAGCCATCAGGTTTTCAGCTGGCTTCTAATATCCTACTCCAAAACAGGTTATTTTCTGTAATAAACAAATTGCATCCAAACAGACCAACAAATATACTAATAAAATGAGAAAATTTGATTCTTTAAAACCAAATAATTTATTTAATATCTATATAGATAATTTAAATATTTTAAACATATTTAGCTAATAAAATGAATTATATTGATGTTTTTCTTTGTGAAAAAGAACTCCGAGTTTAGAAATAAATTCTATTTGATCATGGTATGTAGATTATTTCATCATTATTGGGTTTTGTTAACTAAGATTTTATTTAGGATAGATAATCATATTGTTCTTATCACTCCTGCCCCTCAGTCTTTCCTTAATCAAGACACAGTACATCATTAGTGGAAAAGGAAGCGATATTGACCACTTTGGACCTAGTGTTAACTCAGATTGTAGTCCCACTTCTGCATCTATTATTTCACAAAGGACCTCTGCTCCTTTAACATGTTCACGGGTATGTGTCTGCACCCACCTGCCCAGGCCTTTCTGCTGGTTGCTAATGTAAGCCTGGGTGTGTGTTTAAGCTTGCGACCAACCAGTCTTGAGGCCTGTCCATATACCTCACATCTGCTTCCAGAGGGTTTGGGACTGCCCTGCCTACGCTCCACTGCCAGGCTGAACTGATTCAGCCACCCTCAACCACATACACAGCCAAACTCAAACAGGCAGGAACCTCCTGCACTTACCCAGGATTAGCCTTTTTCAGGAAATGGCAGTTCGGTTTGTGAATTGGAGAGAGAGAAGGAAGGAGTGATTTTGAATGATAGGGCACTTCAAAGAGATCAGAGCCAGAAAAGGAGTGTAGGAGGAGTGGAAGGAAGGGGTTATTAGGCAGCCAACCAGCAGCGTAAAAGCAAGATGTATTGCAAGGGGTGGAGGCCCAAGCAACAGATGAGAGATACAAAAAGGAAGATGGGAGGATGTCAGAGACATACCTTAATTATTCAACATTCTCTCGGGTGGGAATAGCAAACACCAAATGCCATGACTATATGTACTGACCATGATATTTATGCCTTATGCTACCAATACCTAGAAGTGCATCAGTGAGATGAAGAAAGTAAAACACTTTATGGTGGTTATGAAGATTAAATAAGAGAGATATAAGTCATTTTGTAAATTACAAAGCACTATTCAAATAAGATTTTATAAATAACCAACTTGTATATTAATTTTAAATTTCATGTGTGCCTATCTTTTCTCTTAATAGATATTACATATTAATAGAATGTGCTGCTGCTGTATTTATATGCTTCGCCCCTCCTATAAGTCAGCCACACCAAGTCTCACAATTCCATCAAGGTAGCAGGTACTCTCAGTTTCCACCTTAAGAAACTAGAAAGAGAGAGAGAGAGAGAGAGAGAGAGAGAGAGAGAGAATGAAACCTAAAGTAATTGGAAGAAAGAAAATAATGACCATCAGAGCAAGAAAAAATAAACAGCAAAATAATAGAAAAAAAATCAATGAAGCCAAAAATTGATAAATATCTAGCCAGAATGATTAGCAAAAAAGAGAGAAGACACAACTTCCAATATCAGGAATGAGAGTGGGGAATCATCACTAGAGATTGGACAGATATTAAAAGGAAAAGAAGAGACTATATGAACAACTTTATGCCAACAAATTTTAATACTTAGGTGAAATGGATAGATTCTTTGAAAGACACACACTGCCAATGCTCATTCAGAAAGAAATAATCTGAATAGCTCTTGTCAAGAGTTTAGTTCAGCTACTTCATGGTGCTGCTGCTTGACATCCATTCTGTTTGGGCAAGCAGCCTACAGTGACAAGCTGACACTAGTCCCTCATGCAAGCACATAACCTAGATAGCAGCCCACCAAGTCACAAAGTAAATGTAAGTTCCTGATATGACTTGAACCAAGAGCCCTTGGTCTGACAATTTCCCTACCCCCCAATGCTTTGCACTTACACTCTCCTTACCGAAGGTTCCTGTGGAGTTTACCAAAGTCCCACTCCTTTACTTTGAATTGACCAATCTGGTGTCAGCCTAGAAATCCCAACGACTCTACCCATGAACCCTAATAAAAGCATGTGGCCCGAGTTTTGCCTGTCTCTTTCTGAACTCTGCCTTGACCTCCCCGTGTGGCCCCTTGAGGCATGCCGGGTACTTCCTCTAGGACCTGTGAGTAATAAACTTCTCTATTTCAATTTCCTTTATGGCCTGGTATGACCATCTGGCACTCTGTGCTCCACTTAACAAATGTTAATTTGACAAAGTCATAACAGCCTTATATCTATTAAATAAATTGAATTTATAGTTAAAAACCGTCCCACCAAATGGCCCAGATGACTTTATTGGTGGATTCTATCAAATATTTAAAAAAGAAATAAATATCAATTCTATACATTTTCCGTTTCTATGATGACAGCATTGCCATAAACAAAGACATTGCCGCAGACAAAGACATTACAAGAAATTATAGACCAATATCTCTCATGAACACAGGTACAAAAATTCTAAAGTTGTATTGGAACACAGACATGCTCTGTTCACATGCCACTATAATGGCAGAATCAGGTTGTTACAACAGAGACTTTGACCAACTTTGTATCTTGCTCCTACCAGAAAAAGTGCTGACTTTGACTGAAGTTGCAAACTGAAAAAGATATAGAAATAGCTACATCAATTATTCTGAAAGCCAAATTTTAGACAAATAATAGTCTTCACTTTTTTTTTTTACTTTAATCTGCCTCACTGCCTGCACCCCTCCCCCACAGTATTTCCTTAAAGAGCCCACCAGCAAAAAGCCTAGTCATTTCACAAACATGTGCTAAAAGCAAATTTACAAAATCAACAGCCTTAACAACACTCTTGCCTTTAGATGTCTTAATTAACTCATGGTAATCAAACCCATGGGTGGTGTACAAAACTCATAAAGTTTCTTGCCCAAATAAGTTTATACACAACAATGTTATATATGGTACATATTCTTGCATAATACCCTTACTTTATTAACATGTAGAAATCCTGGTAAGTCAAAACATTATAAGATATAATACATGTCTTTAATAGCTAAATATTAGATCTTGCCCTGGAAAAGGTTTACTATAGCATCAGATTAGAAACTATAGAATCCCTAATCCTCAATAAGTTTTGACTACAAGATGATTTACGGTTTTTACAGAAAAGGGCTGGGTTCTGTATTCATTTTCCTAGAGACTCCTGATAACAAACAATACTAACCTGTTAGGTACATATCTGTGGGAGACTTCCTTGGGCTGGGCAAGGTTCTCAAGTCTTCTGGTCAGCTGATTCTTCAAAGCAGTACGGCAAATAGGGCGAATAGGGTCTTGATTTCCCCAAAGCAGTTTTCTGTTAGAAAGCAGAAAATTTTTTAAAAAATTAAAAAATAGCCCTGGCCGGTTTGGCTCAGCGGTTAGACCGTCGGCCTGCAGTTTGTCCCTGGCCCTGGTTGGGTCATGCGGGTGGCAACCACTCGATGTGTTCCTTTCAAATCAATGTTTCTCTCTCTCTCTCCCTCCCACTCTACCTGAAATATCCTTGGGTGCGGATTTAAAAAATAAATAAAACATTTCTGGAAACCAATGAAAATGATCACACAATAACACAATTATCTATGGATTCAGCGAAAGCAGTCCTGAGAGAAAAGTTCATAGCACTACAGGCCTACCTCAAGAAATAAGAAAAATTTCTAACTAACTTCACAACTTAAAGAACGAGAAAGCAAACAAAAAGAAAACCCCAGAGCAAGTAGAAGGAAAGAAATAGTAAAGATCAGAGCAGAAATAAACAACATAGAGACCAAAAAAAAAAAAACAATTCAAAAGATCAATAAAACAAAAAACTGGTTCTTTGAAAAGATAAACAAGATTGATGGACCCTTCGCCAGACTCACCGAGAAACAAAGAGAGAGAACCCAAATACACAAAATCAGAAATGAAAGAGGAGAAGTAACAACTGACACCACAGAAATAAAAAGGATCGTTAACAAATAGTATGAACAATTATACAAATGGGACAATCTAAGCAAAATGGACAAATTTTTAGAAACACAGAGTCTCCCAAAACTGAACCGGGAAGAGAGAGAAAACTTGAACAGACCAATAACAACAGACGAAATTGAAGATGTAATCAATACTCTTCCAGCAAACAAAAGCCCAGCCCAGACAGCTTCATGAGGGAGTTTTATCGAACATTCAAAAAAGAACTAACACCCAGTCTCCTCAAACTATTCCAAAAAAGTCAAGAAGGAAGACTTCCAAACTCGTTTTATGAGGCCAGCATAATTCTAATTCCAAAATCAGATAAAGTCACTACAAAGAAAGAAAACTACATGCCAATATTCCTGATGAACATAGATGCCAAAATCCTGAACAAAATACTAGCAAATCAGATCCAGCAATACATTAAAAAATTATTCACCATGACCAATTGGGATTCATCCCAGGGATGCAAGGCTGGTATAATATTTGCAAATCAATAAATATGATACACCACATAAAAAAATGAAAGATAAAAACCATGTGATTTTATCAATAGATTCTGAAAAACATTAGACAAAATCCAGCACACATTTCTGATGAAAACTCTCAGCAATGTGGGAATAATGGGATCATATCTCGACATTATAAAGGCCATATATGAAAAACCTACAGCCAACATCATACTCAATGGGCAAAAACTAAAAGCATTTCCCTTAAGAACAGGAACAAGACAGGGATGTCCACTTTAACCACTCTTATTTAACATAGTACTGGAAGTCTTAGCCACAGCAATCAGACATGAAGAAAAAATGAAAGGGATCCAAATTGGAAAGGAGGAAGTGAAGCTGTCATTATTCACAGATGACATGATATTATACCTAGAAAACCCTAAAGACTCCATCAAAAATCTACTAAAGCTAATAAACAAATTTGGCAAGGTAGCAGGATACAAATTAACATCAAGAAATCGACAGCATCTTATATACCAATAATGAACCCACAGAAAGAGAAACTAAAAAAATCCCATTTACCACTGCAGCAAAAAAATTAAGATACCTAGAAATAAATTTAACCAAAGAAGTAAAGGACCTATTTACAGAAAACTACAGGACATTGAAGATATCAATAGATGCTGAAATAGGAAGATATGAAAAAAAGTGGAAGCACATACCTTGTTCATAGATTGGAAGAATGAACATTAAAATGTCCATACTACCCAAAGCAATCTATAGATTCAATGCAATCCCATCAAAATACCAACAACATATTTCACAGAACTTGAACAAATGCTTCAAAAGTTCATAGTGAACCAAAAAGACCCTGAATAGCCACAGCGATCTTGAAAAACAAGGACAAAGCAGGTGGAATCACAATACGTACAGTCCTCCCTGGCCACTTTGCCCTTCGAGGTTCGCGGCTTCACTCTATCGCAGTTTACTATTTGAAAAACTGGACAGAGTGAATCTGCAACCGTCAAAGCACAAAGTGGAAAGGGACAAGTGTATATAAATAAAGAATCCTACTTCGTGGAAATTCATTTATCGTAATAGAGTCTGGAACTGATTTAACACGATAAACAAGGGTCAACTGTATCAGATATCAGGTTATACTATGAAGCCACCGTAATCAAAACAGCCTGGTGCTGGCACAAGAACAGGCGTATAGATGAATGGAACAGAACACAGAACCCGGAAATTGACCAAAGACATTATGCTCAATTAATATTTGACAGAGTTGACAAGATCATACAATGGAGTAAAGACAGCCTCTTTAATAAATGGTCTTGGAAAAATTGGACAGCTACATGCAAAAAAAACAAAACTAGACCATCAACTTACACCATACACAAGAAAAAACTCAAAGTAAATAAAAGGTTTAAATGTGATTTGTGAATCCATAAAAATCCTAGAAGAACATGTAGGCAACAAAATTTCCAACATCATGCCCTGGCTGGTTTGGCTCAGCAGTTAGAGCATTGGCCTGTGGTCCAGAGAGACCCAAGTTCGGTTCCCGCTAAGGGCACATGCCATGATTGCAGTTTGTCCCCGGCCTTGGTTGGGTTGTGCAGGAGGCAGCCACTCAGTGTGTCCCTTTCACATCGATGTTTCTGTCTCTCTCTCTCCCTCCCACTCTATCTGAACAAAAACTGGAAAAATGTCCTCAGATGAGGATAAAAAAAAAAATTCAGATGTAGCAGAATTTCCACTGACACATCACCTAAGGCAACAGAAACAAAGGAAAAAATGAACACATGGGACTATATCAAACTAAAAAGCTTCTACACAGCAAAAGAAACAACCATCAAAATGGAAAGGCAACCCACGGAGAGGTTTAATTTCCTGGGAAGACAGGAAAGTCATCCATTCTTTTCAGCAGTTAGAGAATAAACATGTACTCATTATTAATGACACAAATTCAGATGTTAAGGAAGGGGAGCTATATCCCACACATTTTAAAATATTTGCTTTTAATTTTATCCCATTACAGTCTTAAACACTTCTTTGCATGTTCAAAATGGTCCAGAAGCCCCTGAACTTGACTGCAGCCTTGAAAGGAGGCCTGCTAGGTTACAAAGTGAATGTCATTTGCCTTGAGGCACAAACAGTGGCACATTAACAAATCACTATAACCACCAACAGTGTCCACTCATGTGGTTTATTCCACTAGACTGCCATTTCATAGACAGTTTGAGGGGGTTTCCTGATAGCAGACATGGTTTTACTTCTTGTATACTGCTGAAGAATCATTTTTCTTTACATTATATCATCATACCCTATCATTAAAACATTATTCAGTGACTTTTTCCCAACAACATATAAACTACATAAGTGCCAATGATACATCAGAGAAGGGGTTAATTTCCAAAATATATAGAGTGCTCATAAAACTCACCTAAAGGAAGACAAAGAACCCAATTTAAAAATGGGCAGAGGACCTAAATAGACACCTCTCCAAAAAGGACATACAAATGGCCAAGAGACATATGAAGAAATGTTCAACATCACTAATCATCAGAGAGATGCAAATTTAAACAACTATGAGGTATCACTTCACACCTGTCAGAATGGCCGCCATCAACAAATCATCAAACAAGTGTTGGCAAGGGTGTGGAGAAAATGGGACTCTAGTACACTGCTGGGGGGAATGCAGACTGGTGCAGCCGCTATGGAAAACAGTATGGTGTTTCCTCAAAAAATTGAAAATTGAATTGCCATTTGACCCAGTGATCCCACTTCTAGGAATACATCCTAAGAAGCCTGAAACACCAATCAGAAAGAATATATGTATCCCTATGTTTGTAGCAGCACTGTTTACAGTCACCAAGATCTGAAAACAGCCCAAGTGTTCATCAATAGATGAGTGGGTAAAAAAGCTGTGGTACCTATACACAATGGAACATTATGCAGCTATAAAAAAGAAAGATCTCTTATCCTTTGAGACAACATTGAGGGACCTCGAGAGTATCATGCTAAGCGAAATAAGCCAAGCAGAGAAAGACAAATACCACATGATTTCACTTATTTGTGGAATATAATGAACAAGGTGGGCTGATGAACAAAATAGACCCAGAAACATAGAAAGAAGTATGGTTCAGACTAACAAACCTCAGAGTAGGAGGGCAGGGGAGATGGATGAGATAAACCAAATAACTTATATGCATGTATGCAAAACCAATGTACATAGACAACAATGCTGGGGGAGGATGGGGAGGAGGGTGTCTAGGGGTGAAAAAAGGAGAAACATCTGTAAAAAAAAAAAAAAAGATTAAAAATCGGAAAAAAAGAAACACGTTATCACAAACAAAACTATATAATATTTCCTTACCTATCTGGGGCTCTCCATTGTTTTTTAGGCTTAGAAAGAGCTTTCATCCTCTTCCTAGAAAAAAAGCTAACAAACACCAGCTGATTAATTCAAAGAGAATACTTAATAAATATGGTTACATTAGATGACTTCTACTCAAACAAATCCCATCTGAAGGGGGACAAAACCCCAATATCCTATTTGACATAATTTGAAGAATGCTAAAGAGCTCAAAGTATTCAAAAATATTGTGGACCCAAAATTCTCCCTTCTAAAATTATTAATAATGTAGCACATAATAAAATAAAGACAATAAATATGGAATAAAACCAAGAGCATATTGTCTCGAGAAGACCCCAGGTAAAATGCACACTTATTAATGGAACAAACCTTCATGTCATATATTAAGGTAATTTGTAAATGTTTTGATGATACTGAATTCTAAAGAGATTGTTCAGATAAATTTCAGACTGAATGGCTGACTTTGGAAAAACTATGAAATAGGCAAAATATACTTTTGGTACCACTCACCCCCTTTTCTGCCCTACTCTACTCCCTTGGACCTTCCCTGATTGTTCTGAATCCACCTATAGAAGAGACCGTTTAATTTCCCTAAGCATCCATGTGTCACTGTACATTTCCCAGCCTCCCTTGCAACAGCTTGGAGTCATGTGCCTAGCTGTGTCTAACTTCAGCAGAAGTAGCCTTTTCAGGACAATGCACTTAAGAACTAGTGTGCCTCCTCCGTTTCTCTCTTTCCCTGTTGCAAGATGGCATATCTACAAGACAGGAGAGCCAGCCAACTCACACTGGATTGTGATGTGTGGGAGAAATAGACTCTTACTGCATTGTCATTGACACTGCCTATCCTATGCAGACTAATATATCACCTATGTTACTGCAGTTCATATTCTAATTATTTATGAATAATTATTCATTAGAATAGTAATGTATTCTAATTATTAATCAGAATAATTATTTATTCTAATTATTTATTATTTAAACCCTATAGTTTAAAGGGTCCAATATATAACAACCCTTTTATGCCCACAATTAGGAACTAACTGAAAAACAGGTACATGAGTCAGACGAATAGAATAAACGTGCTTTCTGTAGTATTGACAAAACTACATTGAAGAGAACAGAGGATCCCTGACATCTTTGAATTGAACTCGTCCCCAGAGCTGCAAAGTCTCCTGCTGTAGGGGCTAAGTTTGTTACATGACAGAGAGCGGACTGCAAAGATCGTTCACTGTAGATAGGTAGATCCCAAACAGAGAGGACCCAGAAGGGGCCAGTTCTCTTTTCCAACTCCATCAAACAGATATCACTCCCACCCCTTGGGGAATCTAACTAAGGGATAAGGCCAGAGGCCAGGAGAATTACCAAAGAAAGTGCTTCTATATACAAAAAAGGGGGGGTGACCAAGAAGTGTTCTTTGTAACACTTGCCTTAGCACTTTCATAGGGTCTAAACTCTATGTTAGAATAAGCCCTGGTCCTGGTGTCAGGTAAGATTCAGGCCTGACACAGCACGTGCACATGGCCTCTCAACCAAGTGGTTATTGATGCATCATGAAGCTCCTTTCAGAAAGTGGGAGGAGGCAAAGGGGGCTTGATAGGAACCCCCATGATTGCATATTCACAAAACTGGGACATCCACCCTGAAAATCAAGCTAAAATTCTTCAATCACATTATCTATTTCCATGTTACTCTCTTTTTTTAATTTTTTTTATTAATTAATTAATTTTTGGTACAGATGTTTCTCCTTTCCCCCCCACTGATTCCCCCTCCCACTTCCTCCCTGCCCTGTCCCCAGCTTTGTTGTCCATGTCCATTTTTCATGCATACATGCATATAAGATCTGTGGTTTATCTCTCCCCACCGCCCCCTCTTCTGGGGATTGTCAGTCTGTACCCCACTTCCATGTCTCTGAAACTACCCCATTCCTCAGACTGTTATGTTCATTATATTCCACAGATAAGTGAGATCATGTGATATTTGTCTTTCCCTGCTTGGCTTGTTTCGCTTAGGATAATACTTTCCAGGTCCCTCCATGTCGTCTCAAAGGATAAGAGATCTTTCTTTCTTACAGCTGCGTAGTACTGCATTGTGTATATGTACCACTGCTGTTTTATCCATTCGTCTACTGATGGACACTTGGGCTGTTTCCAGATCTTAGCTATTATAAACAGTGCTTCTACAAACATGGGGGTACATATGTATCAGGCTTCTTAAGGTATATTCCTAGAAGTGGGATCACTGGGTCAAATGGCAGTTCAATTTTTAATTTTTTTGAAGTAACACCATAGTGTTTTCCATAGTGGCTGCACAAGTCTGCATTCCCACCAACAGTGTACTAGAGTCCCCTTTTCTCCACACCCTCGCCAACACTTGTTGTTTGATGATTTGTTGATGGCGGCCATTCTGACAGGTGTGAGGTGATACCTCATTGTTGTTTTAATTTGCATCTCTCTGATGATTAGTGATGTTGAGCATTTCTTCATATGTCTCTTAGCCATTTGTATGTCCTGTTTGAAGAGGTGTCTATTTAGGTCCTCTGCCCATCTTATAATAGGGTTCTTTGTCTTCCTTTTGTTGAGTTGTATGAGCATTGTATGTATATTGGAAATTAACTCCTTATCTGATATATCATTGGCAATTATGCTCTCCCATACAGTGGGTAGCCTTTCCGTTTTGATGATTGTATCTTTCCCTGTGCAGAAGCTTTTGAGTTTGATGTAGTCCCATGTGTTCATTTTCTCCTTTGTTTCTGTTGCCTTAGGTGATGTATCAGTGAAAATTCTGCTGCATGTGATGTCTGAAATTTTGTTGCCTATAGTTTCTTCTAGGATTTTTATGGATTCATGAGTCACATTTAAGTCTTTTATCCATTTTGAGTTTATTCTTGTGCAGGGTGTAAGTTGATGGTCTAGTTTCATTTTTCTGCATGTAGCTGTCCAATTTTCCCAACACCATTTATTAAAGAGGCTGTCCTTACTCCACTGTATGCTCTTGCCACCTTTGTCAAATATTAATTGAGCATATTGCCTTGGGTCCATTTCTGGGTTCTCTGTTCTGTTCCACTGGTCTATATGCCTTGCCTGGTCTTGTGCCAGTTCCAGGCTGTTTTGATTATAGTGGCTTTGTAGTATAACCTGAAATCTGGTAATGTGATCCCTCCAACTTTGTTCTTCTTTTTCAAGACTGCTGTGGCTGTTCGAGGTCTTTTTTGGTTCCAATCCATGTTACTCTTTTTATTTCACTTTTATTGTCTCTCAGCCTTTAGTAACAACTTATTTGCCCCTTAACACTTTGCCTTAGCTGTGCAAGGAGAATAATGCAAGTAAGGATTCCATGCACACAACAGGGCATCAGTATTAACAGGGGGACATTTCTCCTGAGTCCACTGTGGTGATAGTTGCAATTAATCTTGGGGACAAGGAACACTTGGTCCAACAATTATTTTCACCTTATTTCTTATCCCTGGGAAAGTTATTTAGTTTTATGAGCTTTAATTCATTCATTCAATAAACATTCACTGAGCACTTACTATGTACAAAGTAGGGTTCTAGGGCTGAGGGTACCTTGGTGACTAATGTAAAAAAAAAATTCTTGCTCTCATATCTGAACAGAAAGACAATAAATACAAAATATATTAGATGGCAATAAGAGCTATAAAAAAAAAAAAGCTAGTAAAGGGGATAAGGAATATGTGGTGGGGAGAAGGTTGCAATTTTACTTTTTTATTTTTTATTTCATTTTGTTACAGATGTTTCTCCTTTTTCCCCCATTGACACCCTCCTCCTGATACCTACCTCCACCCATCCCCAGCATTGTTGTCTATGTCCATGGTTACGCATACATGCATGTAAGTTCTGTGGTTTATCACGTCCCTCTCCTGCCCCCTCTTCTGAGGTTGTCAGTTTGTAGAGAGTTGCAATTTTAAATAGGGTAATCAAAGAAGGTATTATTGATTAGGTTCTATTTCAATAATGACTAGATATACAAAGTTTCCAGGAAAAGATCACCCCATTCCAACAGTAATAGCAAGTGCAAAGGCCCTAGGGCAAGAAGCATGCCTATATGTTTGAAAAATAAGAGGAGGCCAATGTGGTTAACTTCATCTATAAATGAAAATAACTGTATCCATCTCAAAGGGCAGTGTGCCTAGCACATTCTAACTATGGAGTGGGTACTTGGTAATGTCCATTCCTTTTTCCGTTCTTACCTGTAGCACCTAGTATGATAGCTTGTATGTAGTAAATGTTCAGTACATGCTAATTGAGTTTAATTGGTATTTGTTTAAAATATAAACTTAAGTGCCTTATATGGGAAATCATGGAACTATCAGTAAACCAGATAAAGTGATATACATTTAAGACTGTTTGTTTTAGTGCTTGAGAAGGTTGCTAGATCAAAAACAGGTTTGAAGGTAGTAAGAATGTACTCCACCTCCACACTTTTCCCCCCACAGACTCTGGACTCTACTGACTCCCCCTTTTCCAATTGCAACTAACCTATCTGCATTTTGTCCCTCAGGACTCTTGCTTAATTCAAGCTCCCAGACTGAAATCCCCAAATCCTTTTGGGATCTATGAAGATAATAATGGGAGTCCATGCCTTTAGAGCATTTCAAAAAGTCCCATGGAATTCTACTCCACCCACAGTCAGGCTGTAGAAACCACCCAAAACACCAAATGTGTTTCTGAGGTGTATCATCTCCATATGTTACTTCATGCGGACAGGAGACTCTGATTAATACTTACACTTGTCCTTAATTTTAAAAAAGGTAATCAATGTAGTTTGTTTTAGAAACAAAAACATATTTCAAAACATGAGATTGAGGTAGTGAATAGAGATAACCAAAAGATTTTCTGGTGGCGAAACACTTGGAGATCTGCTATGTAACTGATACAATGCAATCCCCAAGCCATGTGTGTTAATATCTAGAGACAAGGAAGGGCGGTGGGGGAATCTACATCCTTATTCAATAGAAGAATGACTTCACCATTCAGCTACCCCATGAGCCCTGCTGAGAGAGCCTGAGCCCACTTTCCAAGGAGGTGGCTAGGTATAGGAGAAAGAAACTCACAGTTGCAGACAAAACATCTTATTATATATTAATCTTTTTAAGCAAGTTAGACTCTGACTTCCTTCATAACCTCCAAGCCAAGATTTCCCTTGCAACCCTTTCTTCACCAGCTAAATGTTTTTCAGTGTATCATTTTATATAAGACCATTGAAAGTTTCCTGGTTACTCCTATAGATACTTATATTGGGTTGTTATTTCACTTGGAAATAATCTCATTAACATTTGCTAATTCTGTGTGGAGATCTAACACCTCTCCTTTGCGTTTACTTATTGTGCATTATGTTGCCATAGCTACATCTCCAGCCTACATCTCTTCATCTCAACTCTGGCTTCCCTTGTCTCTGAAGTATTGCATTACCTTGCAATGTCTAGGCATGATCCTGTGCAGAAACAAAAGACTGTGGTTGAACGATTTTAACTGTTGAAGGGCAGATTCTTAAAAAATGAGGATTACATTATTGTCCCATGTTTTCATTGGTTATTAGTCTCCTATAGTTTCCCAATAGCTAAAAAAGTTTTTGAAATCTTTACCTTGGGTTCAGAGTAATAAATATATGTTTACATAGCAGCAATTATGGAAAAGATTTCAGGTCTGAATTGATGGGGTAATTCAGATAGTTCTTTCTTTTATTCAAAATGCTCTTTTACATTGAACTATTTTGCATATAGTCAGAAAATATTTTCTGTCATAACAGTGGGCACAGCACACTTCTTTAACAAACACTTTGTAAAGAATGGAGACAGAGATGAATAATGGAGATAGCACAATTTCCTCATCGAATCAAACCAAATTAACCAACCAAACAAAAGCAAGAAGCAGTATAATAATCATAATCAAAATAATAACAACAAAAACATTTTAAAAAATCACTCTCTAAACAGTCTTTTTTTTAAAGCTTAAACAATTACTAGGTAAACTGTTTTGCTGTCCATTTAGCCACTTGGCATACATTTAGTTCAACAATGTGGGGTTTTTTTTGTTTTTTGTTTTCCTTTATTGACTTTTAGAGAAAGAAGAAGGGAGGGGGAAAAAGAGAGAGAAACATCAATGAGGGAAAACATCAATTGGATGCCTCCAGCATGCCCCCCACTGGGGATCAGGCCCACAACCTGGGCATGTGCCCTGACCAGGAATCGAACCAGCAACCTCTTGGTGCATGGGTCGACGCTCAACCACTGAGCCATACTGGTTGGGCGGGCAATGTGGTATTTTAAGTGGACACTCAGTAACACTCAGTAAATGTTAGTCCCACCAGCTTTCCTACTCAGCCACCATACAACCTTGTCCAAGGGACATAATTACTCTGAATTTCATTTTCTCTCAGTAAAATCTAGTTAATTATATCTGCACTATCTAGTTCTCAGGATTCTTGTGAGAGAAAAAAATTTTAACTGCAAAGCACTACATACAAATTAAGTAGCAGTATTTACTGCCTACAAGAGGTGAGAAAAAACAACTAGAAAGCAGAATACATAGAAAATACAAAGTAAGTCTAAATAATAATAAATATGAATGTTTAACCCACTTAGTAAAAGAGTAGATAAAAATAAAATCTGGTGTAATTTATTTCTCATCTAAATGAACCACTGATATGAACCCTTGGTATTTTTCTTTAATGAATCTATCCTGATACCTCCTCAAAGTATATCTTAGCCAAACCAAGAATAAACATCTGTTTTCAAAAAGCATTTATTTTGTATGTTGTACACACACACACACACACACACACACACACACTTTTTTTTTTAATAGAGGACATTTTCTTGAAATTTCCCTAATTATTGTACTTGAATTAGAGGTTAAGTGGAGTGGAATACATTGACCTAGAGCTTCACAAAATCTGTGACATGAGATTGTCAGTGCAGAATCCCAGGTCCCTTGAAGGTTCAGACCTAGTATGTAACACCTAGTGTATAGCAAACAAGTAAAAAAACACTGAATAGAAGGAGAGTTCTCCTACGTTTCAATATTCTTCCCCATTCTCACTTCTTACTCACTTTCTCTACTTTCCTTTTCCAGCAGGATTTGTCATCAGAAAGGGGCTTTATGACCGAGGGAAAACACAGGAATTCTCTCAACACCCCCCCCCCCTCCTCGCTAACTTCCACTTCAAATGGCCTGAGTTTGCCCCATCCAGCTAGGTAGCCCACTGGCTCAAGTCTGAAGAACAGTACTGTAAATGTCTTACCATTTCCTTGCTAACTCACGGGGAACAGGAGCTGCAAAAGAGAAAAGTAAAAGCAAAAATGAGATTCAATAAGAATCAATGATATAAAGCTAACATCACAAATCAGTAAAAAAGCTAGGAAAAAATACTGTTTAGGGGAATGGCCAAATTAAATATGACATATCATGTACCAAAACAAATCTCAGCAGTTAATAAACCACAACTGAGGAGTTAAAACTTTTAAAATTGAATTAGAGCAAAAATAAAAGAATATCTACTTAATCACTGGATTTTAATCTGAGTTAAAGGTGACAAAACACAGAGGGAAAATATAGATTAAAATATTTAAAACTTAAAACGTCTATATGTCAACAATTAAAACTTGAAGAGGAAATAAAAATTTGGAGAAATATTTGGCAACAAATATGATAAGGATTAACAGTCTTAATATTTGAAAAGTATAAAAGTATAGATGAATAAGAAAAACACTAAGGTAGATGTTAAAAGTTAAATGGACAAAGGAGACAATTGAATTTATATATGAAGACATAAAGTGGACTAATAAACATAAGAAAGTTCAAACTTGTTTGTAATCAAAACAAAGCAAATAAAATATGAGGTATGACGCCCTGGCCAGTTTGGCTCAGCGGTTGAGCGTCGGCCTGCGGACCAGAGTCCCGGTTCCCACTAGGGGCATGTACCCGCACCCCACCCCCCAAAAAAAATTGAAAAAAAAATGAGGTATGTTTTTAACTATCAAATTAACAAAATTTTTTGCAAAGGATAATGATGCTGGAAGGATAAGATGAAGTGAGTACTTATTTGTGGAATATAATGAACATAACAGTCTGAAGAACAGGGTAGTCCTAGAGATGTGGAAGTAGGGTACAGACTGACAATCCCCAGAAGAGGGGGTAGGGGAGATGAACCACAGAACTTATATGCATGTGTGCATAACCAATGGACGTGGACAACAAAGCTGGGGACAGGGCCGGGAGGGAGGGGGAGGAGGGTGTCAATGGGGGAAAAAAAAGAAACATCTGTAACAAAAATAAATAAATAAAATTTTTTTTTAAGTTTAAAAAAAAAAAAAGATGAGGTGATATTCCTGTGTACTGCAGGTAAAAATTTAAATTACTACACTTCATAAAAAATTACTTGGCAGAATAAGTCAACAATGCTCATATTCCATCATCTAATTCTACTTCTAGAAATGTACCCTAAAGCAATAATACCAAGTGTGGACAGATTTATGCACAAAAATGTTCATTGGATATCTTTAGCAGTGGAAAACTGAATACATGTGAAATGTCCCCAAAAGAATAAATGTTTAAGCAAATTAAAAATCATGTTTAGAAGTTTTTTGTTTTCTTGTTTTTTGATGTTTTTTGTTTTTTCTATTTATCTTAAGGTAGAGAGAGAGGGAGAAACAGGGAGAGAGTGAGAAACACTGACGTGAGAGAGACACACTGACTGGTTGCCTCCCGCATGACCCCGATCAAGGCTGGGGAACCAACCGCAACTGAGGTACGTGCCCTTGGCTGGAATCGAACCCAGGACTCATTGGTCCACGGGCCAGTGCTCTACCACTGAGTCAAACCGACCAGGGCTAGGAGGGTTTTGTTTTGTTTTTTAATGTAGGAAAATGTATGAAATCATACAGACCAACCTGTGCAAATGCTTATCCTAACAGGCCTCATAATGACAGATTGTTCCAGATAGTTTCCACCGGGAGCTTTTAATCCGATCTGAGAGTTCTGAAATAACATTTTGTACCGTCTGCAGTGTTTTGGTAAAGGAAAGTGGGTGCACTTTGGCATCAAACGGACATAGTTCAAACCCTAGTTTTGTTCTTTACTCAGCTAGCTGTACAAACTTGGGCAACTTACTTAATTTCTCCGAGACTCAGTTTCCCCTTCTCAGATAGGAGGACCCTGGGTAGGTCTGTGTGAAGATCTGTGGCATATGTGTAAAGCGCCTCACATATAGTAGATGCAGATAGCAGACGAATGGTAGTTGGAATTATTAGTTACAGCTTCCGTGAATCAGTGGCTTCATAGAGCATGTAGAAAACACAGTAGATTGGGTTTCTACTATGTGCAATATGGTGTCAAGTGTTGAGAGAATAAAAATGAGTTGGATGTGGCCTCTCCTCTCAAGGAGTTTATAGCCCCGTAAGAGATAAGCTATGAATTCTAAAAAGAAGTAAATGGATAAAATTTTCTTTCCTTTTACAGCAAAGTAGCATTTCATTGTGTAAATGTACCACAGGTGTGTGTGTGTGTGTGTGTGTGTGTGTGTGTGTGTGTGTGTGTGACAGCATGGATGGACCTTCAGAGCATTATGCTAAGTGAAACAAGCCGGTCAGAGACAGACAAGTACCATATGATCTCACTCATATGTGGAATATAATGAACAAAGTGAACTATCAAGTAAAACAGAGACAGACTCATAGAAAGAGAGAAGGCAGACAGCTCCGGTGGGAGGGGAGCCTTGTTGGGGGGGGGGGGGCTGGGGATTGAGCCAAAATAAAAGAGAGAGAGAGAGAGAGAGCGCGCTCATGGGCATGGACAACAGTGTGGTGATTCCAGGGCAGGTGGAAGAGGGTATAGAGGGATAAAGGATGATTGGAAAAATAAAAGAAGTAAATGGAAGTTTTGAATTCAGATATTTTCTATCACTCCACTTTTTTTTTTTAATCCTCACCAGATGATATTTTTCTATTTATCTTTTGATAGAGTGAGAGGGAGGGAGGGAGAGGGAAAGAGAGAGAAACATCGACATGAGAGGGACACATCGAATGGTTGCCTCCCGCCCAGGGCTGGGGTGAACCACAACTGAGGTACTGCCCCTGACCAAAATCGAAGCTGCGACTCATCTGCGGGCTGACGCTCTAACCGCTGAGCAAAACCAGCTAGGGCTCAATTACTCTACTTTTTAAGACTAAACTGACTCAGACCTAAGGAAAAAGGGAATGTTATCTATGAAAACACCCCTTGGTATCCAGTCTTGCTGCCATCCATGAAAGACGCAGCACTGTGGATTTTTCCTGTATTGTTACCACACGTGGCTTCCATCTTTATATACACAGGTCAGAGAGTCAGTATAATACTGAATCAATCTTTTAAAAACTTCTACAAGCCTGGCTGGTGTGGCTCAGTGGTAGAGTGTTGACCCATGCACCAAGAGGTCGCCAGTTCGATTCCCAGTCAGGGCACATGCCCAGGTTGTGGGCCCGATCCCCAGTGAGTAGCATGCAGGAGGCGGCCAATTGATGTTCTTTCTCGTCAATGTTTCTCTCTGTCTCCTTCTCCCTTCCTCTCTCTCTAAAATCAATAAAGAAGAAAAAAAAAAACCTCTACAAATACAGATAATATGAATGAATAATGCTCTTTACTACTGCCCTTTCATACTATAATTTCTCCCACAGGTAGAGTTTTCACTAATTGTTTTAGAAACACATTTTTTATGTTTTCTCACCAATTAGTAGGACGGAGTAGCTCTCAAGGGGCCATTGTTAGCTAATGTACCAAGAAAAGCAGTGTTACAATGATTTCCAAACTTGTCTGCACATTAAAACCACCTGGGGATCTTTTAAAAATTGCAGGTCCCAGGCCATGGATGCTAGTATTTTTTGAAGACAAGTTTGGGGACTACTACAATTCTGTTTAATGGGTAGGACCAGTAGCTCTGGAATCAGACCACCTAGAACCAAACCTTGGCTCTAACCTCTGATCTCAACAAATTTATCTAAGTTCTCTGTACCTGATTTTCCTCGTGCTCTTACTTCAAAAGGTTGTTGCATGAAAGTTAAATAAGATGATACATGGAAAGCACCCTGCATACTGCCCAAAACATAGTACATACACAATAAATGCTAGCTATTATTAATCCGCAAAATTCAACAATTAAGATTTTGTTTAAGTTCCTGTGAATTAAAAACAAATCATGTGTTTAAGTAACTGTTGCGTTTAAGTCATTGTTAAGGAAGCATTTACTACTAAGGGTTCCAACTATAAAAATTAGTATTAGTGAAATGAGACCCTACTTGAGTACACATACTCATATGTAGTCTTATTGGTTTCTTTATGTATTTATACCCTCCCTTCATTTCTAAAAAGATTTGAGGTTGCTTACATAAGCACATATACTACATTAGAATATTATCTGTTTTAAGATGAAAAATTCAAAGACAGAGGTAGAACAATAGTGCAGGGATAAGGGAAATAAAAATAAAAATGAAATGAAACAATGTGCAATAAAGTTGTAACTGAGCATTCTACCACTGAAAGCAAAAGACACTAACTTTTTCTAATACTGAAATCTGAAAGAAATGTCTCTTGTGAAGTCTCACTGGTGTTATACAGGCATAAAATAAACTATCAGACCTGATATTGGAAAAGTGAAAGAATCTTTTTTTCTTACGTTTTTCCTTCTTCAAACTTTACTCTTGCTGTGTTTCATGAAACCAAGTTAAACCAAGGAAAATAAAAAACTCTCCAGTCAAGTACCACAAGTGACTGAATATAAGGAAAAATTTTTCCCAAATATTATTCCTCAGAAAAGAGGAGGTTACCTTATATACAAGTTCTTATATAAAACCCATCTTATGGCGCACTTTCTCAATTACTTGATTGTCCCAACAAAGAACTAGTTAAGGAGAACATATTTGCCTAAAACAACTTCAATAAATGCTAGAATGGAAAAAATTACAGAGCTCTCCCTACAAACTAGTACTTAAACAGAGGGGGCAGGTGAAGAAATTTACAACAGGTTTAGTAATTGTTCTTCAGGATGTGATCTTATAACGCTAAGTGCTGGATGTGGCTCCAAGAAGCTTTGAGGACTTCTTTGCATAACCAACGGACATAGACAACAATGCCGTGAAGGGGAGTGGGGGGGAGCAGGGAAGAAGGTGTCAATGAGGGAAAAAGGAGAAACATCTGTAACAAAAATAAATTAAATAAATAAAGAAGTTTTGAACATTGTTTTAAAAAGCAAAATAGAGACAATGGAGCTGTTCATTCCTGATTGTATTGTGAAGATAAAAGT